CCGATACCGATAAGATGCTATCAAATTTTTTGCGCATATCAAGAACTGGTTTAATATTTACTAAATACGCTTAGCGCTTTCAATAAAATACACCTTGTGTATAAAAGAAAAAACCCTCATAGGTGAGCAAGGTGTTACATAAAACCTTGAGAAGAAAAAATAAAGCAGAATTAACAAGTAAAATGAAATGAAGCGGGTGGTTGAAAGATGGTGGCCACGTTCAGATGCTATCAAAGCATGTGCGGAAGCAGATGGACTTCAGCCAGCTGTTTCAGAACAGCTGCCCAGCTAATCGTTTCACTATACTGAATAAATACGATCGGGACCTGCCTTTTGACATCCCAAGGGTCCCCGGTTCCTTAATTTAAATCAGTACCTGCCTCAATCTTAAGGGCCAATCGCCCCGATGCGCACTATGAAACCGGCCTTAAACTCGCATTGCGCATAGTTATGTCGTAATGTTTTTTTTTCTTGTATTAAATGAATAAACTGGTAAACATTATGGTAAAATGCATTACTAAAAAATGTGTAATTTTACAATATTTTTTATCGGTGTATGTATGTCAATTTTGATTATGGAAATGCAAGCGGAAGGAAAAAATTAGGGCGCAAGTAATGCGATTTGCATGCACGGTCGTAATATTTAATATAATAAAAAATGCGGCGTTAAAGCGCATCGATAAAGATCTACGACACAAATTCAAATTTCGATGCGTGATTTTGTACATATTTTAGTTCTTGGTGGTTGCTCACGCACATGCAGTGCGGTGCAGTGAAAGAGAGTGCACACACAAACAACCCTTTTTATCGCGCGCGCTAATCTTGACCCACTAAAGGTGTAAACACTGGAAAAGTGAATTTCCGCATTCGAGAATCTGAAATGTTGGTCATCTGATTATTTTACCCCTGTTACTTTTACTTTTTATCAAACATTTTATCTTTTTCCTGCATTTTTAGACTTATAGATTGACAGGTGTCCTGGATTTCGCAGGATTTAAGGTTTAAATATGGCCTCTGCTTTTATAGGATTGATAAGTTAAAAAATCTAGTTATAACTAAAATTTACATCGCTAAGACAGCTATAGCTTAAGTTGACATTAAGACATTCATATTCTAGCCTCAATTGACATTCTCATGAGTTAAATCAAGCTGAAGTTGACATTTTCAAAGAAGTTATGTCGAGCTTAAGTTGGCATTCTGTATTCAGTTATATTCCAGCTCAACTTAACATTTTTAAGACAGTTAAATTGACATTTTTCCAGTCATTTTCTGGCTTAAACTGGCATTCTGATTAACAGTTATTTGTAGCTTAAGTTGGCATTAAGACAGTCATATTCTAGCTTAAATTGACATTGACATGACAGTTATATCTCGCTTAAGTGAACATTCTTAATACAATTATATTCTAGCTTAAACTTGTTTTTTTTAAACATTTATATCTAGCTTAAGTTGGCATTAAGACAGTCATATTCTAGCTTAAACTGACATTCTCATGACTTAAGTTGTCATTCTTTATTCACTTATATTCCAGCTCAACTTGACATTCTTATGGCACATTTTTAAGACCGTTATAGCCAACTTAATTGACATTTTTTACAGTAATTTTCTGTCTTAAACTGGCATTCTGATTTACAGTTATATGTACATAAGTTGGCATTCTAGCTTAAAATGACATTCTCATGACTGTTATATCTATCTTAAGTGAACATTCTTAATACAATTATATTCTGGCATAAACTTGTTTATTTTTAACATTTATATCTAGCTTAAGTTGGCATTAATACAGTCATATTCTAGCTTAAACTGACATTCTCATGACTTAAGTTGTCATTCTTTATTCACTTATATTCCAGCTCAACTTGACATTTTTATGACGCATTTTTAAGACAGTTAAAGCCAGCTTAATTGACATTTTTACAGTCATTTTCTGGCTTAAACTGGCATTCTGATTTACAGTTTTATGTAGCTTAAGTTGGCATTAAGACAGTCATATTCTAGCTTTAATTGACATTCCCATGACAGTTATATCTAGCTTAAGTTAACATTCTTAATGCAATTCTAGCTTAACCTGGCATTTATATCTAGCTTAAGTTTTTATTAAGACAGTCATATTTTAGCTTAAACTGACATTGTCATGACATAAGTTGGCATTTTTTATTCAGTTATATTCCAGCTTAACTTGACATTTTTAGTTATTTTCTGGCTTCTGATTTACAGTTATATTTAGCTTAAGTTGGCATTAAGACAGTCATATTCTAGCTTAAATTGATATTCTCATGACAGTTATATCTAGCTTAAGTGAACATTCTAAATACAATTATATTCTAGCTTAAACTTGTTTTTTTAACATTTATATCTAGCTTAAGTTAGCATTTAGACAGTCATATTCTAGCTTAAACTGACATTCTCAGGACTTAAGTTGGCATTCTTTATTCAGTTGTATTCCAGCTCAACTTGACATTTTTATGACAAATTTTTAAGACAGTTATAGCCAGCTTAATTGACATTTTTACAGTCATTTTCTGGCCTTAAACTGGCATTCCGATTTACAGTTATATTTAGCTTAAGTTGGCATTAAAACAGTCATATTGTAGCTTAAATTGACATTCCCAATGACAGTTATATCTAGCCTAAGTAAACATTCTTAATACAATTATATTCTAGCTTAAACTTGTTTTAACATTTATATCTAGCTTAAGTTAGCATTAAGACAGTCATATTCCAGCTTAAACTGACATTCTCAGGACTTAAGTTGGCATTCTTTATTCAGTTATATTCCAGCTCAACTTGACATTTTTATGACACATTTTTAAGACAGTTATATGTAGCTTAAGTTGGAATTAAGACAGTCATATTCTAGCTTAAATTGATATTCTCATGACAGTTATATCTAGCCTAAGTGAACATTCTTAATACAATTATATTCTAGCTTAAACTTGTTTTTTTTTTAACATTTATATCCAGCTTAAGTTGGCATTTTTTTTTCAGTTATATTCCAGCTCAACTTGACATTTTTACAGTCATTATCTGGCTTAAACTGGAATTCTGATTTACAGTTATATGTAGCTTAAGTTGGCATTAAGACAGTCATATTCTAACATAAATTGACATTCTCATGACAGTTATATCTAGCTTAAAGAAGTTATGTCGAGCTTAAGTGGGCATTCTTAAAACAGTTATATTCTCTCTTAAATTAAAATTCTTAAAACAGTTACATATATCTAGCTTTAGTTATTAGTTACGAAATATTATTTGTTGTTAATAATTTAGTGTGGTTTTAAAGTTTGTTTAACATTTTAGAACAAATATAAAATCTGATCTGTAATAGTTATTTATGTCATAAGGATGAGAAGTGAGTATTTTTGTGCTGAGCTTAAAATTTGAAGGTGAAGCATAAAAAGACACTAATCAGCCGCATGGCTAACAACATTCTATCTTTAAGGCACAGTTTTATTTGTTAAATGTTACATAAAACGTACTTACAACTATTAAAATTATAAAGTGGGCTCAGAGCTGTCGTCAGTTATAAAATTATTGTTGGTCATAATGAGTTTTTTATAGCCTAGAAGATACTTTTGTAGTGAGCGTTGATAATAATAAAGCTAAATATAAACCGCTTGAAGATAAGAGTAATTTTTAAACCCGGCAACCCTGGTTGCCACATCTCAGTGTGGATTTTTAAACCAAAGCAATTAACATGTAATAAAAGCGAAATATCAATACAATTCTTGTTTAGGATTTCATAATTCGTGTCACACGTAGGTGCGCTTAGTTACGACACGTTGCAGCCGCAGTAACTCGGCTAGGTTCCCTTTTTTACGTTTTCGAGCATAGCACTTAAAAAATCATTGCTAACGTCTGCCACTTAAAAACGTTGTAAATATAGTACCGGCTCAAGGACACATTTAAATCCCCTTTAATTGGGTTTATTGACCACGTAAATCTTTTATATATTTAGAAATGATTTTAACGCCTAATCGACTTATGCAACCGTATCGCCCACAAATTCTCATTTACGCTATCCAATGTTTGGATTAGATTGTATCATATTTTTATCAGATAAACAGCTGTTACTATTTTTTAATCGAAGCCATCTATTGGTAAAATCGAGTACCTAATATGCATTATGCGCAGACATGATCAAAATAGAGATGGCTACCGCGCATAGATCTACTACACATCAGTGTAGTAGTGAAAAATATTCATCCCACAGTTTGACCTAAAAAAGCATGTGTAAACAACAGAACTTATTGTATTGTTGAACCCGTATGTATACAAGATAAACTTTGTACGTAAAAGAGTTGAAAAATAAACACGAGGAATTATTACTATTAACTAACGGTATTGCTTGACGTTTTATGATTCACTGCTCGACGAAGGGAAATTAAATTTTTCCCTGTAAAATCCTGATGTGAATAATTGTTAAAAATTCCGACAATCTCATTAAAATGAATTCCTGGTAAGAGCTCGTCTCTACCTATGCTATGCATAGTAAGTAATAAATCATAACAGTTTTACAATGTCGGTTTAAAAGTTTGGGTGGCTAGTGTGTTGTTTCTATAGATAATTATTTTATCATTGTTTATTAAGAAATATTATAAGGAAAAGGAAGTTTAATTCATTTATCAGGCTAATGTTTATTATTGCGTGACATTTATTATTATCTCATGATTGAATACAATGGCTATTTAACATCAATTTAATCACAAGGTACCTATTTATTTTATATGCCATTAAAAGTGCGATTTTTTGAAAAAGAATACGAGTGGCTTAATTAAGTTTATTTTTAATATAAGAATTGTTTAAATTATGCACATATTTGATTATTTGTTGAATGATTAGTTAGGATTGTTCCTACTAAAGTCCCAAACTGTCTAAAACAGTCGGATGCTGCGCAATAGGACCTTGGGCTGCCAGAAGTGCTATTACGCAGGCGTCCGACTGTTTTAGACAGTTTGTGACTCTTGCAAGAACAAACCTAATAAGTGTTGTTTTTTCAGGGCAGTAAAGGCTTTTCAGCAACTGTTGTACGTGTCGCCTGGCTTTCAAAGGGCGAATGAAGTTAATCTAAGGCTGGGATTAATGTTTAAAGTGACCCACGAATACGAATCAGCCCTTAAACATTTACAATTGGCCTTAGTAGACAACAGTCCTTGTACGACAGCAAAAAATATAAGTAAGTTTTTCAATTGCATCGACACGCTCACGAATGATCGTTACTATTTGAAAATAGCGTTACTAACCTAGTCTAACCTAGTTTATGTTGACTGACATGTCCTTGGCATTATTTTGCAATAAGGAAAAAATAACAAAAGAATTATCGACCGAGTAAATGTTTATTTCGTGCGCGTTTTTGCTGATTTGGATATTTACTTTTTATCAGTCAGTCAGTGATAATAATATGCAGTGCAATGCATAGATTAGATAAAGTATAGATGGCCCACTCTTTAGTTAAAATCGGAACTAAATTATTTTAGTTGCGCATTTTATCACTTGGGGGCTGCAAGTATATCGCCGGGAATTTTAAATACAATGCAGCCCCATTTATTGCCTAAAAGCTCTACTAAACTAAATAAATTTATATATGTATAAATCAATTGTATTTTTAATGAATACTATATATTCTTTAAGACTTTATTATAGATTACAATAACAAAATTCACTCATCTTAAAAGAAATACATATTAATCAGTTTAAGAAAATTAATAAATAAAATAAATTATTATTATTGATTTGACATGGTTTTTATTATGGATATAAAAATAATATTAAAAATATTATCATTTATATAAAATATATTATAGGTACATATAACAAATAAGCGGGTTGGGAAAATTTAAGTGATTTAATTCCTAAATTAAATTAAACTTATAATTAAATTGCATAGGAAAATTTACATAATACCACAATCCACACAACAAGGTCTGTTCAAACTCCTTAAAATACGAACGAAACTGTTATGCGCACATACGACTACCGCCATATTTGATTTATTTGCCGCCGTTAATTTAAATTACCCAAAATAGTAATTCTGTATAACACAGGCATGGAAGTAAACTAAGTTTTTTTTAAGTTTTAAAGAAATTGCAAATGTTTTTTAACATTAAAAGATTTGACAAAAGGATGAATCTTTTTATAAATTATTATTTAGGAAATAAAAATAGTTATATTTAGTTTTAAAGTAAACTGAAATTTGACAAGTTTTTTAATAAATGAATTTTAGAAATTAATTATTGACATCAATAATGTATTTTTAGGAAGTAAAAATAGTTGTATCTGGTTCTTAATACACTATAGTACACAATAATAAAAAATAAAACCAAACAACTATTACAAATCCGCATAAACAGCACAATAATTGCAAACAATGAAAATGTAAACAATGAAAATGGCGACTAAAGTATGAGGTTGCCTAATTTCGTGATTTTTAACATGCGCGAATAAAGATCGATACTAAAAATATTTTTCACAAAAACCACTTTTTTGACCAGTATATTATACAATAAACAATAAATGATCTATATTAGAAAAAAATAGATTTTAGAAATAGTCATTGACTGAGGTTCTTTAGACGCTTAGCAAATTTCTTATTTAACAAAAAAAAATAATATTTTTAATGTTTGAGTTTGTAGTTAATAAATTACATTAAATTAGAAAGTCTAAATAAAAAAAATGACTTTCAAATTGTAATTAAAAATATAATATAATTGACGAAATACAAACTTAAAAATTGAAAATAATAACTTGTAATACAAAATATAAAACTAATTAACAGTTTTCTTTAGTTTTTTAATTATAATAATAATATTGCCTCTTTCTTTTTTTAAAACTTTTTGTATCGTTCTAGAGCCATAACTTTAATTGGATCGTTGATATTCCATGAGTCTGTACCTTTTAGGATTTTATTTATATTTTTTGTCCAAAGAAATAAGTAGAACGATAAAAACTTTTGAACAAAACTTCAGTTCAGGTTATGATGATTTCTCTTAATTTTTTTTGCAAATCGTTTTTATATGCGATTTTTGGCAAAAAGTAGTTGCACTTCCCAAATATTAAGAGAAGAAATTCAAACTTCTTCCTGTTGAGATTTCTCCAGATGTATTTAAAGCCACGAAGTGTTGTCATCCAATTTTTTACTGTTGGGGGGACAAAATCCTTTCCTTTTCTCTGAAACTTTGTGGACACCAATGGCTTCATCCCAAAATGCAACATGTGGGGAAGATTTTGTCACCGCACATTTTAGCATTTTACCAAGTGATCCATTAACACTATCAAAAAGCTTGTCCATAAACATTAAAAAATTTGCAGTCCCTAATGCATTCTGCGGAAGGCATTCGTTTCCTGCAATAAATAAAAAGTTTATATTAAATTTAAGCTAAAATAAGAGTTGATTTGTTATTTTTACATAACTTATAATAATTATTATTATGAGAGTACAAAAGCAAAATAACATGCAATAAACTGTAGAGTTAAAATTATATTACAGTAAACTGAATATGTATGTATGTGCATGTAATTATTACCTGGCAATCGTAGGTCTGGAAATGCATTTGCCCTAATATTGGTTCTATTTCGATTTGTGACAAATTTCATTTTATCTGAAAAATGTTAACCTCCTAGACATAGTGATGCCTTTCCTTGCTTCAACCCGCATGTTGAATAGCTGTAATGCAGAAAAAAAATATTTTTTAATTTTTCTAGAGGAACACAATAAAGATTATAATTGTCACACAATGCTGTACATGACCTTATTTGATTTTTGTAGTACATATACGCTAAAGAAGTATCGGGTTTTCGCAACGCGCCATCTGGTGGACTTCTATAGCATTGCATGACTTTAATAATTGTCAACAATACATCATTTTTAAATAAATAGGGAGTTTTTTCACAAAAGAAAGGAAGGCAGAAGTCTTACTCGACAAATTTCATTCAATTGCACAGCTAAATCGCGCACGTTATTTGTGTTTTACGTTGCAAGAAAAAAACTTTTTTAGTACTCGATTTCGATTGATTATTCCTTATATTATTGATCAACGCTTAAATGCTTATATAGTTACGTTAGTGTGTATTTTATCATGGTGAATTATTGTGTTTTTAACTGTAAATAAAATTCAAGAACTAAAACGTTGCATTTTCATGTTTTGCCAATTCGGTAAGTGCATTTGTTGGTGCAGAATTAACTAATGATAACTTTACCTAATATAATTTATATTTAAGTTTGGACATTTTTAAAAAATTAGTAAAAAATAATAGTTCTCTAAAAAACGCCGACAACTGCATTTTAAACAACAAAATATATCTACGAATTAATGGCAACATAATATTATATATAATACATAATATAATGGTATTTTACCGTTGAGTGGAGACTTAATCAAAGCTTTTAATAATGCTAAATGCTGTTTAAATTTAGACAACTTATTTGTTTGACGATTTTTACTGAATTAAAATATTTACACTTTTCACGTTAATCACTACTAAAATGTGTATTTATTGTAATTTATATTTACAGAGACTGTATGCAATTTATTTCTTCATTCAGATTAACACTGTTTATTGGAAAACCGGTAAAAACTCAACCCAGGATTTCCTCTTGAAATACACCCAAAAACACAACAAATCGAGCCATGGTTTTTTTTTCGATATTTTTTAACATTTTCCGGCTTTATTCTCAAAAACACTCGTTTGTAACATAAGCGTTTAACAGCTGATTATTAAAAGTTAAACTTTTGTTACGATGATAACAGCCGAGTGGTGGCGCTACTAGCGATACTTCTTTAGCGTATTCAGAAGTAAACATGAAACTTACCTCAGGACCTTTAGGAAACGAATGTAATATTGCCTCCTTGTATTTCTACAATTAACTACAGCACATTTAAAAACCATAATGAAAAAATCAAAATCGCACAAAAGAAAACTTGTTTGTCTACAACAAATGCCGAACAAAACAATAATGTCATAAACATTCGTTCATACACGCGGGTTATTTAAATTCTTCTACAACAGCGTCAATGTGACCATATCCGTAACTAAAATTTTCGTAAATTAGACATTTCGACATTTAGAGAGGAAGTGAGCATAGCCTGGTGCAATGGCAATATTTTATAAATATAAATTATATCCGTTGTAATGCGCATGATGCCACCGTCTTCAAGGTTGACAGGGAAACTGTTCAAAAATAACTTTAATATCACGTTTTTTTATAGGCACATTAAATCGCCCAACAATGTGATTTACAAAAATAACTAATTATTCAACCAACTTAATCTAATCATCTTTAATATTGAATTCAATTAAAAGTAATAATTGTTTTATGCAATACGTTCTTATTTTTGTCTACTCCCACACTAAGTGATCTTTTTAAATACACATTGACAAGTTGTGGCTTTATGGCGGGATGTGGTTAGTTGACAGTTGTTTCCTCCCTGGTAATTAAATCATGATTGTTTCGAACCCTGGTATTACCCTCATATTATTAAACACTCGCTCGCAATTTAATTTACCTATTCGTTTACATGTGACATTTAATAGAAGCCCAATTAAATGGTTTAGCAATTATCTTAATTAATTGCATTGAACGTTAGTTAGAATTTTAATGAAATATACTTATAAATTGACATGGCGAAATTAAAAGGAACAAAACTTAACGGACAGGCCGGCGCTCTTAGATAATAATTTAACGCTTAAGTTTCCGCAAAAAAATATTTGTAGACAAATCAATCGATAAAATCTGTAGTGTTTTAATTTTCTGAACTTAATAATAATGCAATAAATTGCAAGAGGTAAAATTATAATTTATAAAGCTCACTTAATCTTTTAGTACCGTTATCTAATTGTAAGTCCGTATTATTATAATGTATACTCTCAGTAAGATATATTAGCTAAACAAGTTAATGAAAACAAATAATTTTTGTATGTATTAATAAAAAATATATAGGTAACCTAAACTGTTCTGAAAATAAATTTCCAGTTGCACGTATTGATTTTAAATTAATAAAGCCCCTGATGTGTAAATGTTCAATGCAAACCTTGACATTGACTTTTTTCAGGCCATCACTCAGAAACACTAAAGTAGAGCAAACAACTTTAACGAGATAATAATATAATATTTTATACCGTAATACCGTCTATAAAAATAAGCGTGTTAAGTTCAAAATTTAAACTTTAGAAAAAACA